TTTGTGTAGCTGTAGGGCATTAATCCACATCAACCAGCTTCGTATTTATATCCCACCTGGGGAGGGCGGTTGCATCAGCACATTTTGTAAAACGTTGAGCAAAACAGCCCTGGCTGCAGGAAATGGGTTTTTCTTCATACTGAATTGCTTCACCGCTCGGCTCTTTCCCAGCAGCAGCAGAACGCACCTGGGGCTGTCCAGGGGACAGCTGTGTGCTGGGGCACAGGCCACGCCAGCTCCTGAGCACCGCAGTGCTGCACACCTAGGCAAGCAGCAGCCTTGCTCTGCACTGTGTTTCCCATGGCCAGTGGGGCTGTGGCTGAATGAGCCTTGGTCCACGGCCTGGAGAAACCAACAAAAGCCCTGAGATGAGGCCGCCCAGTCCTCCGGGATTTACCCAGCGGGGCTGAGCCCTCTTGGTGCCCCTCACACATGTTGCCATGGTGCTGCCACTCAGCTTTGTCTGCATCAATGCTGCAGCCGCCGCTCCGCAGGGTTTGGCACGTTGTCACCCTGGCTGGGGCGCAGTGGGGGCTGCAAAATGCAGGCAGCAGTGTGCTGTGCCCCTCTGCCCCTCCTCGTGCTGCTGCTGCCGGTTGTTTTCTTTCCCTTCTGGAGTGCTCCTGTGGCTTCCTTCCCAGAACCTGAGACCTCGGAGCCACGGTCCAAGGCCGCCGGATCCCACCCTCCCCTCTGCTGCTGATTCATCACTGCTGGTCAGTTAAAAAGGGGTAATCAGCAAATTACTGAAATATAAGTAAGATAAACAAGGTGGGCAGGAGGCGTGCGTGCTGCAGGGCCCCAGCGGTGCCTCGCTGCCCCAACTCCACACTCAGCACTGTGTGGCCATGCAGGCTCTGAGGTCTCAAAGCAGCTCCCCAGCACGGGCCGGGCCGCTCGCTGCTCCGGGGGCTGCCTGCATTTGTCCATATGCCGACGCTGACAGCGGAGCCGGTCTGAGTTAATTTGGCAGCAGCCGTTTAGAACAGTTGTCAAATGTTTTGCTGAAGCCGAAGCATGTTGCATCTACCACTTTTCCTTCTGTTTCTTGTAGTTTACAATTAAATACCACCAGTTCTACCCATATTTCACCTTCCATAAACCCCCGCTCCTTATTCCTGGAGCTGTTTCATTGCCACCAGGCAGCGGGTTTCTCATGCCGCATTGTTCCTTTAACTCACGGGACACAGCAGGCAGGTGCGTGTCATTGTCACCATTGCAGCTCTTCTCTTTTTAGAAAGCAGCTGCTGTGCCCATCAGTGCCAGGGAACAAAGCGCTGCCACCCACGCTGTGCTGATGGATGTCCAGCACGCAGAGCCCCGCAGTGGCACCCATGTCCCCAGGAGCTCCGAGCGGCGCTGTGCTGGGCTCAGCCCCCCTTACTGCTCACATCTCCTCAGGGTCTTAGTGGAACAGTTTGGGGAATCCATCCTGTGCAACTGGGAGCGGGCTGGGCGCAGCCAGCAGTGACAGGCGGCGCTGGTTTCGGTGCCTCCAGGGGGGTGGTGAGCTGCCAGCTGATACGGGCTGTGTCATCCTGACAGTGCAGCACCTGCGGGCAGAGCTGAGAGCTAGCATGGCTCCTGCCCCTGCTCCTGCCAGGGGAATGGCAAAGAATGCACCAGAGGCCTGTGGTGCTGTGGGGAGGTCTTGGGGGTGATAACAGGGCAGGGGATGAGGAGCTATGTGGGGTCCTGGTTAGGGGCCACATAGCACCAAGCTAATGTGTGAGGTGACAGACATACCACAGGGGGAATAGTGCTGCCCCAGCACAGTCTGCAGAAGAGGGTCCTGGACCCAGCTGGAGGATGTGCTGCAGCCTACGCAGGGCTGGCGTCAGGCAGCAGATACGGGAATGTGTGCAGGAATGTTGTTTCTGTCTGGAGCTGCTGGATGGGGAGTAATGGGGCTTCCAACAGCTGACACAGAGCTGCTCCTATGCCCTCAGTCCCGCTCTGTGCCAAACACCCCATGCCCGGCACACCACAGCCGTACCATAACCGTGGTGCTCCCACATGCTGTGTCACCGGCACAAGGCACTGACTCCCCCATTCTGCTTCCTCTTGCCGTCACGGTGCTCTGCTGTGCTGCTTCCCCAGTCTGTGCACGTCAGGAGGGTGTCTGGCGCCGGCCTCGTGCATGGGCCTGGTCCTCTCTCTGCCACCCCCCATCCCCATATCCAGCTCCTTGGGGTTCCCAGCGCACTGCAGTGCTCTCACAGCTGGGTGTCTTGTCTCCCACCCTGGTGCATCCCACAGCAAGGGCTGCGAGTGCATTGCCCTGGGTCCATGCCCCTGGTACAGAGTTGGGCAGGGTCTGGGCACTGCGCTGGGATCCCTGGCTCCATCCAGCACCTAGCTACAGACCTGCAGCCTGTGTGGAGCAGCTCTGTCCCACCAGCCTGTGCCCAATTTACAGCAGCCCTGTCCTGGACCCCAGGGCACCTTCCCATGGGGGATTCTTTACGCAGCACCTGTCAGCGAGGGGGGCGCATCTGTGAGTAAGGACATGGGAACGGGCTGCAGCTGCCTCTTCCTTCCCCTTTTGATGGAAGTGGTGGTGACAGACAGCCTCGTGGCTCGGCGGCCAGCAGGAACAGGGGACGTCTGCTAGGGATTTTCCGTGCCGTTCATCCTGGCCAGGACTTTGGGTTTGGAGGGTGCTGCCAGCATTGCACGGGCTGTGACGTCCCCCAGCTGCTCCTGGGGTCATTTGGCATCCCCACAGCCCTCTTTGCCCAGGCCGTGTTCTCTGTCACTCCCTCCTCACCCACTGGCAGTCCCAGCTCCAGCCCACCCCAGCATCCTTCTGCCACACGGACTCTATGCTGCCTGTCTCAGCTCCCTGAGTTGCCCCACTTAGTCTGAGGCTGCCTGTGGAGTTCCCCCACCCCACCCTCAGGCTCCTGGTGCACCCAGACTCGGGGGTTTCCCTGCCCCTTCTCCTCACGGAGCCTCAGAGAGTCACCAGAAAATCCCTGTGAGGAAGCCGGGTTGTGGGGCTGTGAGTCAGTGGGAGAGGCCAGAGGGGGGGTCGGGGCTGCAGCCGCCTGTGCTGTGGGTACCTGGCTGGCAACATGAGGATGCTCAGGGCTGTCACCATGTGTGCCTGTGGGGCACCCTGGAGCCAGCTGGGTCAGGCTGCAGCCCTCAGCCCCTCCTGTTCCGTGCCCTGTGCCGTGCCATGGCTCAGCCCTTGGAGGGGCTGCAGCTCCCAGGCGGTGCCGTGCAGGTGATGCTGTGGCTGTGTGCCTGGGCTGTGGGAGCTGTGGGAACTGGGGATGGGAATAACGTGGGAAAGGCCCAGGGATCTCCCGCGGTGCTGGAAGGACTGGCCAGGACCCAGCCCCTCTGGGCACGCCTCATGGCAACAGCCCTTGTGCTTCAGCTCTGCTTTGAGCCCTGCTGTGCCCAGTGCCAGGGAAGGGCTGCTGCGGGGGCACGGCGGGCTGCGCACGTGTGTCATGCCGGGCTCAGGATGGGGCTGCCCTGTGTGGCAACTTCCTCGCCGTGTCACCGGGTGTTGCTCTTGCAGGGCTGCGGATGCAGTGAGGCAACCTGGCGGTTTCTCAGTGCCGTTCTGCAGGAGGGGGACGTGGTTCTTCCCCCTGAGCCCAGAGCTCTGCCTGTGGGCTCCCACAGCCCGGGCACCACATTCTGATAGCAGCAAGCACCACAGCCTGGCTGCACAGGGCTGGTTGGGAGCATGGGATGCCGGTGCTGGGTAGGAGGTGCTGGAGGCTGCATCCTTGTGTGGGTGATGCTCCCCGAGGCAGCTCTGCTCCCTCCATCCAGTCCTGCAGGTCTCTAGCACCTCAGGCCAGGCCCAGAGCAGTTTGTGCAGATCAGCTGAGCCTGGAGCAAGGCAGAGGGGAAGGCTGTGGGTGCTGAGGAGCAGGGAGCACAGGATGGGTCTGTCCTGCAGCTGCAGTCCCACAGGGCAGCCCAGGACAGTGAGGGAGGTGGCAGGAGCCCGTCTGTGCCCTGAGCAGCGTCACGGGGCTGTTCTGAGCCTCCCAGCTCCCCAGCTGACGCTGCGCCTTTCTCTCCTCTGTGCCATCTGTTTTCCTCTCCCTCCTGTCCCTGTTTGCTTTCCCCTTCCCCACTCCTATTCCCACAAGCGTCGGCAATTTGGAAGAAGCAGGAAAACACCATCCGGTGGCGAGGTTTGTGCTGCCTTGGGAGCCTGACTCAGCGGTGCCCTGCAGGCAGCGCCTGGGAGGATGGGGCAGGCCCGTGTCCCATGGGCACCACTGCAGTGTCCGTGTGCCGGGCAAGCATGTGCCCATCCTGCAAGACTCTGCTGGGCACCTGTGGGGCAAGGAACCACAGGCAGCTGCTGTGCCAGGAATGCTCAGCTCACTGGGGAGACACGATCGTGGTGTGAATGTGGGGGTGGAGGCTGCATCCTGCTGAAGGGCTGCAGTCTGGCCAAGCTCAGCCCATATACGCTTCACCTCATGGTGGGCATTGGGCTAGCAGGCAGGAGGCTGCAGGTGCCAGGGATCTGGGCAGGGCTCCTCTGCCAGCCCAGGTCCCCATGGGTCTGTCCCTGGCAGCATCTGCCCTTGGCCAGATGAGCTCAGCACTGTGGTGTGTGGTGATGCGACTGTGGGGCACCCCATACCCAACTACCTCCAGTCGTGGCACAATCCTGGTCCTGACCATGGACATGGGACACAGGGCACTGCCCATCACAGCTGCACCAAGCCATGCAAGCATGGCTGCCCCTCCACCATCCTTGTGCCATTCTCATATCCTGCATGACCACCGGAACCGGCGTGTTTAGTAAACAAGGTGATGAAACAGTTAAAGCAGACAACGGAGGAGCCTGAGTGTGCGTTTCGTCACCGTGGGAAGGGAGTGTGAGTCCTCAGGGCTGAGGGTCTGAGAGTGACTCACTGCCCTCCCCACAGCATAAATAGGAGCGGAGCAGCAGCACCGGGCACAGCTTCATCCTCCTCTGCTGCACCATGGGGCTGCTCCTGGCCCCGCTCGCCCTGGCACTGCTGGCTCTCTGCCGCGCCGCCCCGCTGCACAGCAAGCCTCAAGCGGTCATCACCTTCCCAGGGGAGCTGCTCAGCGCCCCATCAGACGTGGAGCTGGCGGAGGTGAGGGCAGTGTGGCCCCAGTGCGGCCCCTTTCCACTGCCCAGCCTGAGACATTGAGGGGCTGCAGGCTGGGCTGGGGGCCGCCATCTGCCTGGAGGTGCAAGGGCTGGGACAGAGCGGGGATGCGGTGCGGGGAGCTGCTCCCGAGCCCCTCTTGCCTTGCTGAGCCCCTCCGGCTGCCTTTCCTCCCCAGAGCTATCTGCTGCGCTTCGGCTACATCCAGGAGGCAGAGGCAAAGAGGAGCAGCAAGCACGTGTCCCTGGCCAAAGCGCTGCGCAGGATGCAGAAGCAACTGGGGCTGGAGGAGACAGGGGAGCTGGATGCCAGCACCCTGGAAGCCATGCGAGCCCCCCGCTGTGGGGTGCCTGATGTGGGGGGTTTCCTCACCTTCGAGGGGGAGCTCAAATGGGACCATATGGACCTCACGTACCGGTGAGTCTGGGAGATGGGAGCCATGTGCCCAGAGGGTGATGGACACCAGGGGATGGAGACAGGCAGGAGCGCTCTCACCCCGTGCTGTCAGCCAGCTGGGATCAGCACAGCACAGCTGTCAGCAGCTGCTCTGCAGTGCCCAAGATTATACCCAAGCCAACCCCAGGGCCCTGGTCAGTGCCTGCCGGGTTGCATGGCACTGCTGTCCCCTGTGGGGCTGGGACAGATCCCCACCATGTGGTCAGAGCCAGGTCACTCTTACCCCGCTGTCACAGTGCTGAGCTGCAGCCTTCACCTGCAGGGTGATGAACTACTCCCCCGACCTGGACCGTGCTGTGATAGATGATGCCTTCCAGCGGGCGTTCAAGGTGTGGAGTGATGTCACTCCCCTCACCTTCACCCAGATTTACAGCGGCGAGGCTGACATCATGATCATGTTCGGCAGCCAAGGTGATGTCCTGGGGCTGTTTGGGGGGTGGGAGCAGGCACAGCTTCCAGGAAGGGACTGGAAATATGCCCATCCCCTCGTGGTGCTTGCAGGGTTCTCCCTAGACAGGGCTCTGCCTCCAGGCACCCACAGGTAAAGGCAGCACGCAGTGCCTGTGGTCCATGTACCTGAGGGGTGATATGGCTCTGATGGCACCTGTCCCTGCAGAGCATGGTGATGGATACCCCTTTGATGGCAAGGACGGGCTCCTGGCCCACGCCTTTCCCCCGGGGAACGGGATTCAGGGCGATGCCCACTTCGATGATGATGAGTTCTGGACTCTGGGAACTGGCTTGGGTAAGAGGAGGGTGCAGTGGGGTCATGGGGGCTCACGGCGCCTGTCTCGCCCCGTCCCACTGAGTACATCCTCTCCCTGCAGAGGTGAAGACCCGCTATGGGAATGCCAATGGGGCCAGCTGCCACTTCCCTTTCATCTTTGAGGGCCAATCCTACTCCCGGTGCATCACAGAAGGCCGCACAGACGGGATGCTGTGGTGTGCCACCACCGCCAGCTACGATGCTGACAAGACTTACGGCTTCTGCCCCAGCGAGCGTGAGTAGCACCGGCTGGAGGCTGCACAGCCCCGTGGGACTGCGGCTGTTCTCACCCCTTCTCCCCCTGCAGTGCTCTACACCAATGGTGGCAACAGCGATGGGTCTCCCTGCGTCTTCCCCTTCATCTTTGATGGCACCTCCTATGACACCTGCACCACGGACGGTCGCTCTGACGGCTACCGCTGGTGTGCCACCACAGCCAACTTTGACCAGGACAAGAAATATGGCTTCTGCCCCAACCGAGGTGCGAGTGGGGTGGGTGGTGGAGTCCTGTGGGGTGTGGGGCTGGCGGGGTCCCAGCCGTGGCGCAGGGTGGGTGCAAAGGCATACAGGCAACCCTACTGATGCTGTGCTGCAGACACGGCAGTCATCGGTGGCAACTCCCAAGGGGACCCGTGTGTCTTCCCCTTCACCTTCCTGGGGCAGTCCTACAGCACGTGCACCAGTCAGGGCCGGCAGGATGGGAAGCTCTGGTGTGCCACCACCAGCAACTACGACACCGACAAGAAGTGGGGCTTCTGCCCGGACAGAGGTACTGGCCTGTGTGCTGGAGGCCTTGCATGGCTGCAGTCCCCAGCAGCGTGTCCATCTGTCCAGGAACTGAGGATGCTGCTTCCTCCCAGGTTACAGCATCTTCCTGGTGGCTGCCCACGAGTTTGGGCACTCTCTGGGGCTGGACCACTCCAGTGTGCGTGAGGCATTGATGTACCCCATGTACAGCTACGTCCAGGACTTCCAGCTGCATGAGGATGATGTCCAGGGCATCCAGTACCTCTATGGTGAGTGGTCCCTCTGTAGCTGGCACACCATGGGCATGGATCTCTGGTGCAGTGCCATAGGGCACCCGGCTGGCAGTGCCCTGGGTACGTTCCTGGGATGGGTCCTGCAAGGTCCTGCTCTCTGCACCCTCATGCTCCCTCCTGCCCACTCAGGTCGTGGCTCTGGCCCTGAGCCCACCCCCCCAGCACCTTTGCCCACCGAGGAGCCCCAGCCCATGCCCACCGAAGCTGGCAGTGCCTCCACCACAGAAGAGGAGGAGGAGGAGACGCCGGAGCCCACAGCTGAGCCCAGCCCCGTGGACCCCAGCCGGGATGCCTGCAAAGAGAAGAACTTCGATGCCATCACTGAAATCAATGGAGAGCTGCACTTCTTCAAGAATGGGTGAGTAGAAGCTCCTGGCTCATCCACAGCAAGTGCCAGGGTGATGGGCAGCATTTCACCAGGGCTGCCGGGGGGGCACAAGACTCTGCCTTGTTGAGGTTGTCAGGGCAGTGGTTTTTCCCTCCAGGAAATACTGGACCCACTCGTCCTTCTGGAAATCAGGCACTCAGGGCGCCTTCTCTATTGCTGACTCCTGGCCCGGCCTCCCGGCTGTCATCGATGCTGCGTTCCAAGATGTGCTCACCAAGAGGGTTTTCTTCTTTGCAGGTGAGCCCTGCCCTGACCCCGTGTCTCAGCACCACATGTAGGGTGCTGCTTGGGGCATCCAGGGCCATCTGACACCTACGTGCTCCACACAGGGCGGCAGTTCTGGGTGTTCTCTGGCAAGAATGCAGTGGGCCCCCGTGGGATTGAGAAGTTGGGCATTGGGAAGGAGGCCGGGCGCATCACAGGGGCCCTGCAGCGGGGACGTGGCAAAGTGCTGCTCTTCAGTGGGGAGCACTACTGGAGGTGAGTGGCTCAGGCCAGCAGCCCCAGCCCTGCAGTGCAGCAGGTGGCTCAATGCAGCTCTGGGTGCTTCGCTTTCCCTGCAGGCTGGACGTGAAGGTCCAGACAGTGGATAAAGGCTACCCTCGTGCCACTGATGATGTCTTTACCGGTGTCCCCCTTGATGCACGTAATGTCTTCCTGTACCAAGGTGAGCAGGGACCCACATGGCGGTGCTGTCACCCCCGTGCTGCCCTCAGTCCCCCCCCCCCAAGGCTAGTCTCCCCCATTCCTCGCCTGGGCAGCAGCTGCACCATTCGCATTTTCCCACTGTCTCACCTCGCTGCCTCCTTCCCCCAGACAAGTACCACTTCTGCCGGGACAGCTTCTACTGGAGGATGACCCCACGTTACCAGGTGGACCGCGTGGGCTACATCATATATGACCTCCTGCAGTGCCCCCAGCACTAGGAGCAGAGCAGCTGCTCTGGTGTCACACTCCTGCCTGCTGCTCCAGCCGGTCCCCCTACAGCCCAGGAGTGCTGTGGGGCAGCCGTGGGTCAGCTGTGGGGTTGCCCCCCTGCCGTGCCAGGGCTTGTAGTCTCCCTACAGGGAGGATGGGGGCAAGTGCTCCTGGCTCCCACCAGGGGCTGCCCATCTGGGGAGTGCGACTCGCGCCAGTTCTGCTGCCCAGAGACGTTAGCCCGGTGCAAACTGCACACGGATTTGTAATGACTTTGTTTTCTCCTGAGCCAGTAACACTGGGTCGGCCTCGGCGGGCAGGGACGCGGAGCTCCGCGCCGCCCCCGCCTACCGCCGGCTCTGCCAGCCGCAACCTGCACCTTTGTAATAAAAACCGTCCTTTGGAAGCGGCCTCCGAGTGCTCAGTCAGCGCGGGGAACGGGCCTGGGGGGGTGCGGGGAGAAAGGGGGCTGCGAGCGGTGCTGCAGCCATACCCCAGAGGAAGATGTGACTCCATCCCCACCCTTCCGTGCCCGGCTCCCGTCCCGTTCCCCGCGCCTCCAAGTGCAGCCCAGCCCCGCCCGCCCCTTCGAGCCCGGCGGCGCGGGGGCTGCCCGGGTCCGTGGCAGGGCGGGGCGGCCGCAGCATCAGGGCTATAATTAGAGGCCATGGTTCCGCAGAAGCGGCGGGCAAAAAAATCTGGTGGAGTGCGGCCCCCGTCCCGTCCCGTCGGCCGCCCGGCACCGAGGTCCGGTCCCAGCACCCCCGTGCGGCAGCACCTGCGGGGCACAGCGGTGTCGGGCGGGACAGGGCGGGGAGGGGAGGGGCGGCCCCCAGTCCGTCCCGTCGGGCCGCGCCGGGCAGCGCCTCGCCGAGCGGGGCGGCGCGGCGGGCGGTGCTGCGGGCACTAGGACCCCGGTCAGCGCCCGGCGGCGGCCGCGCACCCGCAAGCCGGAGCCCGGAGCCACTTGTGGCGGCGGGGCCATGAGCCGGCGCTTCACCGTCACCGCGCTGCCCCGCGAGGGCCCGGCGGCGGCTCGGGGCGCGTCCCGCGGGGAGGGGGAGAGCCGTCCGCACGGCCGCGATGGTAGAGGTGAGCGCGGCGGCGGCTGCGGGGCACGGCCGGTGGGGAGGGTCGGCGGGGAGGGATCGCGGGGCAGGGCCGGCACAAAGGGGTGCGCGGGGCGGGGTCGTCGGGGCACCCCGATTCAGCGGCTCCGGGCTCGGGGTTCCCGGGAGGCTCAGAGTGGGACTGGAGGGCTGGGGGAAAGGGGTGCGGAGTGCAGAGCTCGGAACGTGGCAAGGCCTCCCCCAGGGGTGCGCTTCGTGCCCATCTCCATCCAGGGGACAGTGGGACCATTGGGGATGACGCACCGGGCAGCATCGGGGCGTGCGGGTTGGAATGGGGGTGTGCGGCGGGGAGACGTAATGGGCGGGGGGACATGGGCTGCCTGCCCCTCACCCAGGGGAGGCTCGTGGCGATGGGGCGAGGGGATGCTGTGAGCCCCACAGTGCTGGGCCGTGGGGTGGGCGCTGGTGCTGCGGTCAACCGTCGCCTCGTGGTGCCCAGGGGACCCCACTGAGACTGCGCCGTCACCGCAGCTGTCACCGGAACCGTATCGATCCCAGAAACCCAACCGAGGGCAGCGCGGGGCTGTGACCTTGCGGCCTTGGCAAAGGGCGAATGTGGGTGGGGGCAAGCGGGCAGTGGGATGCCCAAGCCAGGCTGTGCCCTGCGCTGCGCTCCGGCCTCATCCCACAGCTGCTGGTCAAGGACCTCCATCTATCCCACAGCTCCTGGGCGGATGGGCCCTGAGAAAGAACGCAGCAACGGGCGCTGAACTGGGAGCTGGTGGGCGGGTGGCTGAGGACCGGGTGCAGGGCGGGCAGAGGTGAGAGCGTGCAGGGATGTGGGGGAAGCGTGGGGCTGGGGACCCCCAGAGGCCTCCGCTGAGTCCCAGCAGGGCCGTGACCTTGTGCCCTCGCAGAGGACAGCGCAGCCCAGCGCCGCCAGCAACCGCCTGGGACCGGCCCTGCAGCCCCCAACCCGGGCAGGGCCAGGAGTGCCGAGGCCTGCGGGGGCTGTGGGGGCTGCACCCGGCCGTGCTGCTTCTCCACACCAGGTTGGGGCGGTCTGAGCGGCCCCCCGGCACCGCCGGCCTTCCTGACAACTTGGAGCGGCACGGTGGGGCCCGGGAATCTCAGTATGGGTCTCACGTGGGGTCCCAGCCGGCTGCAGGAAATGCTGCGCGGGGCTACGGGAGCCCACGGGCTGGGGGCCGTTTGGGGAAACTCCCTCTGCCCCCCGCTTTTGCCAGTGAGTCCCGACGGGAAGTGGGGCCGGGCGCGGTGCTCCACGTGGAGGAGTCGGCAGCGCGTGTGGGGCTGCGGGGCGTCAGCGGGGCCGTGCGTCGTCGAGTGGGGCTGCGCGCGGCGGTGGAGTCTCGGGGGGCCATGGGGTGCGGGAGGGGTCGCTCAGCGCAGCGCTCGCTCGCCGCCAGAGGCCGCTGCCGGCTCCGGAGAGGCGGGGAGGGGCCGCGATGGGAGGGGTTGATGGACGTGACGCTGCCCCTCCCGGCCCCGCCCTGCGGCCGTTCCCGAAATAGCCCCGAGCGCGGTCGGGGGCCGGCTCCATCCCCGGGCCCGGTTGCCGTGGCAACTCCGGGATGCGGAGGGCCGGGGGCGATCCCGGGGTCCTGGAGCGGCCGCGGCCCACGGCGGGCCGCCCCCTGCAGCGCAGCGCGATGAGGTGCTTTGCGGGGTCCTGCAGCTGCCGGGGCCGTGGCGTTGAGCTGTTGCTATAGGGTCGGCCTCCCCAGGAGGGTACAGTCCTGGGGGGGGGGCTCCTTAGGGTCCTCCTCATCGTTGTGCTGGCTCTACGGTCGACCCCCCACCCTGCGGGCTATGGGGTGGCAGCACGGGGCCAAGTGGGGGCAGGTGGCGGTGTGGGGGGCATTTGACTTGGGGAGTGAAGGGGCATCCCTGGTGTGAGCCCCCCGGTGTCCTTAGGCAGCCGGGCTCCATGGAAGTCGCTATGGCAACCAACTGGTTAAGGAGCCTCTCTCGTTGCCATGGAAACTGGACCCGATGTCATCTCTTTTCGCTGTTCCATGATGCTTTGGGGATGGTTGTAGCCATTCTCCCAACCCCGCTGTGGGCAGGGGTTGTGGGGTGGCTGTGCTGTGCTGGGGCACCCACAGCCCTTGTGGCATCCTGACTGTGGGGACACCCAGACACGGACCAGCCATCTGCAGACCTGGGGGGTGCTTGGGTGCAGCTAGGCAGGGACCCCCAGTCCCACAAAGCAGCCTACACAGTTTCCCAGCTTCCCCCTCCTTGAGGCACCGGGTTTGGGGAAGACATTGCTATGTGTGAGGAGCAGTTCTGTGCGGAGCCCCTTCTCACTGCCCCAGCACAGAGCCGCAGGGAGAGCAAAGACACAGGGCCTGGGGTCTGGGGGAGGTGTTATTAAAGCAGCCGAGGGGTTTTGCTATGTGTGGGGGGCTGCCTGGCCCAGGCAATGCCAGGGTTTGCCGTGGCTCCCATCTCCCCAGCACGCATCGAGGTTGTGGGGCTGAACTGTGCCCATGGGTTGGTGGCCCTGGCAGTCACCTGGCTGTCTCTTTCTGCTCCCACCCAGTCACAGAGCTGGGGCTGTCAGTGGTGTGGGGCTGTGCCGCGGGTCCTGGCTGTGACTGTTGTTGTGCTTTGACACCCGGGGTCTCACACAGCTCAGGCTCGGTGCAGGGTGGCTGAGGGCACACGGGGGGTTTGTGAGGTGGCTGTGCCGTGCCAGCTTCAGGCTGCCCGCGGGGCCATGTGGCAGCACATTCTTCCCCCTGTCGCTCCCCAGCAGCTTGCTGTAAGTGGGACACTGATGCCATGCCTGGCCCAATGCCAGGCGCCTGCGTGAGCTCGGGTGCGGGGGCCACTTGTGGCTGATGGAAGGTCCTGTGCCTGCGGACAGCCACCTGCCGCCCTCCGTCCCCTCTTCCCTGCCCGTGCTTCGTGCTGCAGCCCCTGCTTCTGGGCACCGACAGCTGCGCCAAGGCCACGGCTCAGTGGAGTGCAGCGTGCAGGGGGCCACGTGTCCCAGCCCCATACGCTGCCCACATCAGACCCCTCTGCCGCAGCTCCCCAGGAGTGGGCTCCCAGCACGCTCCGTGTGCCCTGTGCCTTGCTCCATGCCAGAGGCACCCCGTGCACGAGAGGAGTGACCGCGGTCGATGCTTCAACCCCCGCATTGCTGGCAAATCCCAGCCCCTGAAATGGAGCCATAATCCAGGGATTAGGGGATTAGTGGTCTTTCACGTGCTCGCCCCCCCCTCCCCCATCTGCTTTAGCAGGAAAATCCCTCTTGCGTCGAGCCCACGTTCTGCGGCCTCCTGCGCAAAGCTGCCACCCCAGTGCTTGGCTCTTGCTGTGGTGGGATGGCCCTGCACACCCCCTGGCCACGCAAACACGCTGGAGCTCTGCCCGCTCCATCCCACTGGCCTTGAGCTGCTCCATCGCTGGGCTCAGGGCAGCCCTGCTCAGCTCCCACTTGGTGAATGAAGCACCATTGCTGTGGGTGCTGAGGCTGCGCCCTGCCCATGCTCTCCAGGGGTGCCCCCATGCTGCGGGGCTCCCTGGGGCTTTGCAGTGCTGCGATGTGCCCCACTGTGCTGGGCACTGATGGCTGTGGCTATGCTGAGCCCCACCTCCCCGGGGTCCTGGCCCCACAGTGGGGCAGGGCTGGGGAAGGGCGGCGGAGCCAACCCCTGCAAGGTGAGGGCTGGGAGCATCCGCGCTGCAGAGCAGCTGGCTCCATACCAGGAGAAAGTAAACAATTAATTACAGCCGTCAAGAAGTAACTAACGCCAGCGGGCTGTCATGATCTCAACTCGCTCCTGAGGAGATGCCGGGAGCTGCAGCCAGCTCTGGTTCTAGGATCCTCCCTCACTGAGCAAGTGAGAAGAGAAGGGGCTGTGGGATGACCTCTGGGATCAGCGCAGCATCCCTGTCAAAGCCCTGCCCAAACTGTGCCAAGAACCGTCGCCCACCCGGATCCCATGCTGGCCCTGGGTCAGCACAGCCACGGCCCTTCAGGGCAGCCCTCTGCTCCGTGTCCGCAGTGCTGCGTGCCCAAGGGAGGGAGCTGCATGTGGGGATGTTCCTGGAGGAGGGAGCACCCCTGGGGCCCTTGCAGTCTCATCAGGTGTGCTCACTCCCAGCCTATGCCCCCGAGGGGCAGCTTTCCCCAGTCTGCATTGCTTGCTGCAGCTTTGGCCAGTGCTCACCTCACTCCT